CTGACCTGAGCTCGCCCAGTGGCCATGCCCCTGCCAGCCCGGCCACCCCAGTAAAGAAGTGACAGACAATGTGGACTTTAAAACTCCTCTGCGCTAATGTCCCACCTAACTCTATATAGCCGAAAAAGTAGAGAAAAAGAAGGGAGAGTGGTACCAGCCAGGGCTGTGTGAGCTGGCAGCCGGGAAGGTGATGTGGTGGGAGTGAGTGTCGACCCCTGTCCACCGTTAACCATGGGCATCACCAGTCAGTACCACGACCTTGCTCCAGCCTGGCTTGGCCATGGCCAGGGCAGGATGGAAGCCAATGCCCGGCCCAGCGCTCACCATGATGAAGAGGCAGGTAGGGGTTTCCCAGAACGCACTGGCCGTGGTGGGTGGTGCAGGGAGAGGCAGAGGCAAGGGCTGTGTGCTGGGCATGGCCATCTCAGTGACAGCTTCACCTTCCAGAAGGGACACCAGCGTGCCATGGCTGTGCCAGAGTCGGGCAGCAATGGGTGGTGCTGGTGCAGGGCCAGGACCTCCAGGGAACCTTGGTTCACTCCAGGCTTGGTTTTTTTTGTTTCTCCCAGATCCCAAGTGCATGTCAGTTATGCACCTTAACCACTTTTGACAACCTCTGCTCCATTCCAAATGCGATACGAAGGTATGCCACGCAAGTTATGCCTTGTAATGTCGCTTTTCATTCCAGTGTGACAGGATCAGACCCTCTCCTACCATTGCCACGTGAATCAAAGCGTGGGTGGGAGTGCCGCTGTAGGTGTGAATCCAGGCTGGAGCAGGGGCTGTCTGCTCTTATTGTTTCCACAGTACTGGGTACAACAGGGCTGCAATTTGCAATTCAGGTTTCGGGCTGTTACTGCTATAGCAATAATAAATGTGTCCCTGAGGTGGCCCAATTGGCTGCAGTAACATTGCACTGCTGCCAGATATAGCCTATGGTGTGCAACTGATGGCTAGTAAGAGGTTAAGAGAGTAGGTGTATTTATAGATACGAGAATCCATCAGCTTAAAGATCTGGGAGGCTTTCTAACTGAATGCAAACACTAAATAAATTGTGAATTGTTTTTACAGGATTCTTCTTAGTTTTATCTTTTTAAATTT